CAATAGAACAACAATCAGAAAAACAACAAAAAACAAAGAAATTATAGGTTAATAAAGTGATACATATGTATTTGATGTTGTTGTTTACATGTTGAAAAGGTTTAAAATAGGTCATAAGTTTTTATCAGTCTTGAAAGAAGTATTGTTTGAACTCCTCGTTTAAATGTTACTGTGTAGAATATTAAGTGACATCTTGTTAAGTCACACCAAATTTTAGAATGGTGAGACTACAGTTTTTATTACTGAAATGATGTATCCCTTAAATTCTGATAACATTAACTGATGTAAAAACTCTTCAGATTGTAAAATTTTAAATAGTTCCGACGTACAATACAAAACAGATGCAATACAATTGGCATGTATTTATACTTAGGTCAGAAACAAATAAACTAATTCTGCACAATTATACGTGCCAACTTCTACCAAATAAATGTAATAATGAACTTTGTTTTTTCTTGCTGCATGCTTTCTCTCTCTTTGTCCGACCTTCTGACCTGCTAAGCCAAATTTTGAACTTATTGCTCAGTTGCTAAGTTTTAAATGAAATACATCTATTTAACACTGATTTCAGTGATGTTCAGCAAATGTTGAACTTCGTCATACTACATCTGTCATACTATATATGATAATATTACTTTAAAGATGATTGTTTTTTCTGCTCAACTAACATCTCACTCTTGTTTCCTCTCTATGTGCTTTCTAATCCTCTTTCTGTCTCTGCTTTATACTAACCATAGGGTAGGGCTGTGGAGCTTTACAAAACCATAGAGCTAATGTCATCTCTGTTGGAGCAGGTGAGCTTATTTTAAAACAGAATATAAAACCAGGATACATAAAGCTAGAATAAATTATCTCCACACAAATTCAACTATTCCTAAAGAAAAACTTTCCAATATAAAAACATAAGGTTTCTTGTCTTGTATATTTTTTTTAATCCCCCTTCCTTCCATCTTGTCCTGCTTAGTCCTGTCAGGATCGCGGTGGGGCCGGTGCCTATCTGGCAGTCTTCTCATAAGTTCAATATCTAAAAGTAAAGACTAAAAGTAATCAGATGAATATATGCAAGAGAAGAAAAGCGGCTGTATCTATCTGTATGGAAAATGCTTATGACA